TGGGCCCCTGCCCGGCGCCAGACCCAAGACGCTGGGTGAGTGCCTGAGGCCCCCTGTTTCAAGCCGCTGCTGCTTTGACAGGAAAAGCGGTGCTGGGGGTTGTTTCTTCGCGCCCCGGCACATCCTGGGCACAGACGCCCCCACTCCCAGGGCCCCTAGTCCAAGCCGCGCCACAGGCTGGGCCGGCCCTGTCCAACCGGCCCCTGCAAATCCACTGTCCCAGGCAACCCTGACGCAAGGGCCTGGCCCGCTATGGGGACAGGTCCGGCCGCTGCCAGGATTGTTGTAATACAATGGAGGGATCCACGGAAGATGGCCTCCCCCTCCAGCCTGTGCCAGCGTGAGCTAGGGGGCCATCATAGAGGACAGTCCAGTTGTCCTCTGTTGGTACAAAACCCAATGCCTTTATGTCCTCTGTTCTTCTCTTGAATGGAGAGCTGATTTAGCAAGGACTTTTTTCCATCAGGGTTCTTGAAGAGAAGACATAAAGGTGTTGGGTTTCGTGTCAATAGAGGACAGAGTAGGAGAAAACTAGACTCTCCTCTCCAACGGCCACCTTTAGCAAGAGCATGGGGGGACACGTCCGTTCCCGAGCCCACCTCTGCTTTTCTACGATTCTGTGAACAAGGGATCGGGAGGCCCAAGATGTGGTCTCAGCCCCAGGGCTGACTCCCTGCGGGACTTCGAGTTACGGGCCGCATCTTGCGCTTACCGAGTTGCCACACCCCAGTCTTGTTACATACATGTTTCCCAATCTGCTCCAGACTCCTTGGTTTGCTGAAATCTCTTTCCAAGGTCTTCCTAACCCAATGTTCATGCCTTGCTAAGTCCCTCAAGCCAAGGTCTGATCCTTGCCCTTGCCACCTGTGTTCATACCCACAAATTCATATGGCTTCCAAGAGCGCGTCATCCTACAAACCCAATGTGCTGCCCACGATAAATCAGCTCCATGGCTTAGTCATCCAACAGAATGACAAACAGGAGTGTTTTGGAGGGAGTGTGAAGGGCTCTCTTTCTAGGTCCATTTCTGTGCTTAATGCCATTATGGCCAGCAATGAAACGGTTGTGACCAGCAACAGGCATGCTTGAAACCCGAAGAGAATTTCCTATAACACTGGTTTTTAACCTGTGGTCTGTGGACCCCTGGGGGTCTGCAGACTGTGTTCTCAACCTGTGGGCCGCATAACATCCTTTGACATATGACAATCAGCACACTGCTGCAGGCCACGTGCATCCTGTTAAATGGATACACAGGAAGTAAATTGCCTGGGCTGGGTGCAGCCCACATAACACATTGACAGCTGCAAGTGTTGCCTGCTACTGCAAATAGGTTGAGAACTACTGGTCTAAGCGGTCCATGAAAAGATGAATATGATCAATCAAAAGTATGCGAATACCCATATTTACAATTCAAGGGGGTCTGCACCTCCATGTAAAATATTTTAGGGGCCTGCAAATGAAGAAAGGTTGAAAACCACTGTCCTATAACATACAATTTGGTGACAGTTCTGGAAGAGATTTGTCATTGGGAAGGACAAACACTTACAGAGGGAGCATGAAAGAACAAGGCAGCCTGATTCAGGAAGTAATACCACCAAAGTTTCTTGAGAGAAAGGAATTGATCCTAAAAGAACCATAAAGAGTGCATTCCATTAAGACAGCTTTGCAGACCGTAACCACCAGAGGTAAGAGTACCAGGTAGCCTTCTATAAACTGGAAACAAGAATGGGCAAACTGTGGCCACCATAGAAAAGGCCATAAAGTTTTCCACACATCTAGAAATATCCCATTATTATACTCATCCAATTATTATTATTTATCATAGCGTCAGTGGGATATATTTTCTGCAGATTCGGTCGGTAGAATGGAAGAGCTGTACAGATGAGGATGGCTCTGCCCCAGGTTATCCAGCCAAAAGACTATCAAGCAAGCACAGTAAGAGAGCTCTCCAACCAGAATATATTTATTTGTCAGGGACAGCCCAAGTTTGTCAGGGATTGTAGACTAACCACACAAAAAAAATGTTCTGCCAGGGACGGGAAAATAACAGGACAGTGTCAAGACATGAAATAAGACATATGATCTGACTGCATGATTGGATCCAAGGCTTCTGGAGTCAGTAAGCAAGGATCTGCCAGTGATGCTCTATATTAGAGCTAAAAATATGGCTTTGCACGGTATCTCAAAGGTTATAAGCAACTTCAGAGAGCTCAGATGAGTGCTGAAAGAAAAGGAAGCCAACACAGTCTTGGAGATCCTTCCTGTCCTAGTAGCAAAGGAAGATAGCAAAAGCTTCTGGAAATGAGCCACTATCTAAGGAAGTAGTCTAGAGTTTTGGTTTTGTGACAATAGGGAATCAGGCTGTTGTGCAGAATTATGGTAAAAATATTATATAAAAATATTTCCTACTTTGTGAAAGGATGTCATGCAGTTGTGCACTTTTCAAATGCAGAGACACTTCCTGAAGCCCCCAACATTTTTTGTCAAAATACTTTTTCTACAAAAATGCTGTTTTCATGACAATCCAGACATTTAAAAAATGTTCATCTCAGTGAAATTTCATTTATCAAAAAAACCCTGAAATAAAGCATTTTGATAAAGTCATAACAGGTGATAAACAGCAATATAAGGGTGCTGACAGAGATCCAAACTTTGGGCCTGTAGATATATAAAAAGCCTGCCACCCAGGAGCCAAACTGATACAGAACAGAATCTGGGACAGTGCCTTTGGCACTTTGAAAACAACAAAAAAAGAGAATAAAACCTATCGATTATTTCTCCTGCAAGGAGAATACCAATCCTTCATTTTATAGTCTGCCAAATAAAAGGTCTACTTGGTTTGTTTAAAAAGCTTTACATAGTTAACAACTGATGCACATATCAGGTACACTCTTATACAACACTCATCTTTTGGAACTAAATAATCAAGGTTCATCTGAGCCACGCTCCTGATGTGTTGCTCAATGTTTTAGGTACAGGCACTTGGTGTGTTGTGTCCAGTTATATCCAGGTAGACAAGGATGATTCAGTGTCCTCCTTTGTGTACTGTCCTACTTTTTGTCTTTCTTAAGGTAGTCTGGCCAATGGTCCTCCACCTCCTGACCAACAATGCCATCCCATGTTTTTTACTTGGTGAAAGGATGGCATGCAGTTGTGCGCTTTGCAAATGCGGGGACGTTTCCTGATGCACCAAAAATAATGTTCAAATGCTTGCAGCTTTATTTTACCGTGTAATATTTTCAAACACATCAAATGCATTTGTGCTTATACAATACTCCTTCCAAGGCAAGTGTGCACTTTTAAAATAAAGCTATTTTAAGCTATGCAAATACACACTCAACTCAGGTTACAAAGTATTAGATGAGTAAAGGGTTGGTTGGTGTGTTTGTTTGTTTGTTTGTTTATCTCTGTGCTTGGATGTCTTTAAAATGGCCCAGTGGAAATTTACCAAAGTTCATATGCATGAAAACACATCTGGGCTAAGCGTAAGCATGAGACATTTTAGCCCAAAGCACAATTGTCTGTCAGCACCTTAAAGGAGACTTTGGAATAAAATTGGGAAATACAACCTGACCATAAGACTCAGAGAATAACAGAATATCAACATCGTTTTTTTAAATGCTCAAAATTGTATTTTACCTAAATAGTCTCTGTTTAAGACATACATAAGAGGCTTGATGCTGAAGTGGTATAAATCAGTGGCTTTCAAATTATGCTGTTCTGACTTGCACTGCCTGAAAATGCAGCTGGGAATATCTAAATAATGTTTTCAAGTGAGCTGTGCCTACTAGAAATAGTGAAGATAACAACAGATTTTATGCTTGCCTTGTTATTTTATTTTACTTTTAAACTTATGCAGTGCCCATTCTGAAATCCCTTCTGGCAAAAACATGTGTCCTATTTTCTGGCAGGGGCCACCCGATCTCCCAGATCAGAACTGCTGTTGCTGTACTACTGCAAATACTAGATACCTTGTTCTTAGCATTTTTCACATAACATCAATAGATGTTGGTAGTAAAACAAGTGCAATAATAGAGGACAAGGAGCTCAAGGGTCAATCTGAAACAGCTCTCTGGATTGTATAGACTTTAAGTCTTTTTTTTTTTTTGGTGTAGGCAAAACAATTCTTCATTTGCTGCCCTTTTCAGAAGACTGCTCGGGAGTCTGAAATACACGTTTTGTTCTCTGTTGACTGTTGGAGAGTCTCTGTAGGAGAGGGTCAGCATTCAAAAGTCTGGCCTGAAATGCAAAATACTTGACTTGGTAGTCTGAGATGTGTCACCTGAAATTATCCCACAAAATGCTTATAACGATAGGCTGACACCTCATCTCCGTTAATCAGATCTGACCCAGTTTGAAGAGTACATTTTTTTCTTATCCTACCATCCAACTTGTTCAACTAGCTTCAAGTTTGTCAGCAGAAGGAGCCTGAGAAACGTAAACTTGCTCTCTGAGACATCTTTGTTTTTAACTAAAGCAAATTCACTTGCTTCACTGACACCTTTACGATTTGAATTTTCATTGTGGCAAGAGAGCAGAGGCAGAAGCAGTGGAAAGATTTCCCCCATTGTCCAATGTCATTCAGTTGCTCACTAATGCAGAGATCTGCTGGAGCTGAGAATCATTTAATTTCCATCCCTACCAAACCCTAAATCTGTCCTAAAGCCACCAGTCAGAACCATTACCACAGCTGAGTTAGTGCCCACTGATTTTGACCCATCTACTAGGAATGGAGCTAAGCCTGTTCGTTCTTTTCACAGAGGTTACTAAATTAATCAACTGAAAGCATCTTTGGATTGGATTTTCAAAAGTGCCTAAGTGAATTAGAAACACAAGTCCTTTTAACACATACTGCTCACTACTGGCCCAGGCCCTGTTTACATTCAAGATGTAAAAATATAAGATCAATTCTGGGCTGCAAGTAAGCTCTCTAGCTGCAGATTTGTGGGTAATTCCTGTGTAACCGGCTACATTACACCATCCAGAATCTTCAGCAGTACTTACATCAAAAATACACAAGAGAAGGCAGCAGTAT